GATTCCAAGCACGCTTTCTTCACACAAAAGACAGTGTCGCTAACCTATCTTCCATCTACAGTGCTCAGGTTCCTATCTTCTCCCCAAAGTGGTCACTAACCACACCAATCTGTTGGCGCCATCTCTAGCGGCCAACAGTGAGGCTTCCTCAAGGCCACTGGTTTAGCCTCAGAATAAAGCAAAGATCCACAGTGGGTTTAAACCCTAACGAATCAGCTATGAGGACGGTTAACAGACCACCGTCATATGACTGTATCACGGGCAGGAGGGGTGCTAGGATGTGAAGGAGGATTACGCCTTGGACAATGACCAAAAAAACACAAGACCTACTATTTACCACAGATGGAATCTGATAGAAGGGGACAGAGAGGAGAAAGAAGAGACACAAAATGCCCCCAAAGTGACCTGTTCAGAAAGCTGCCTCTGAGCTGGGCAACAAGTGGGACCTCAGAGTTAGGAGAGGCAAAGGAAAGGAATAATTAGGCCTTAAAAGAAGTGAGATCAACAGGAAGAGCAAAAATACAAAGCACATGTTTCACAGTTTCCAAAGCCCTAACCCTTCCAGAAAGTTCGCCCACTCCATCCTCCCATCCAAAGGAGCATCTACATTTTCAACAGGGCAGATGCCACGGTGTCTGCTTCTTCCAGGAAGCCTGCAGTCCTTCTCCTCCTAATACTTAACACCAGGCAGCGCCGGCACTTTCTAGAAGTCTAGAAGACAAGGTCACATAAGTCTATGCTCTCTTTACCCCCCTAACATCCTTAACTTCAGCATAATCACAAACGTCCAAGATGTGGGGCGCCTGGATGTGGACGGCTCAGTTTGTTGAGTGTCCAACTCCTGGTTTTAGCTCAGATCATGATCTCATGGTTCTTGAGTTCAAGCCCCACATGAGGCTCTGCACTGGCAACTTGGAGCCTGCTTGGGATTCGCGCTCTCTCTCTCTCTCTCTCTCTCTCTCTGACCCTCTCCCACTCACACACACTCTCTCCTCTCTCAAAATAAACTCAAAAAAAGAAAAAAATGTCCAAAATGAAAAAGAACCCAACATATATAATCCCATTTCATCCCAGGCTGCATTTAAAAGATGGTTCTTGGTTCTTGGGGGGCGCCTGGGTGGCTCAGTCAGTTAAGCCTCCAACTCCGCTCAGGTCATGATCTCACTCAGGTTCGTGAGTTCGAGCCCCGTGTCCAGCTCTGGGCTGACAGCTCAGAGCCTGGAGCCTGCTTCGGATTCTGTGTCTCCTTCTCTCTCTGTCCCACCCCTGCTTATGCTCTCTCTCAAAAATTAAAAAAAAAGAAAAAAAAAAAGATGATTCTGGGGGCGCCAAGGTGGTTCAGTTGGTTAAGCGTCAGACTATAGATTTCGGCTCAGGTCATGATCTCATGGTTCGTGGGTTTGAGCCCCACAGCTCAGAGCCTCCTTGGGATTCTCTCTCCCTCCCTCCCTTTCTGCCCCTCCCCCCCTTTCTGCCCCTCCCCAGTTACGCACATGAGTACACAAGCTTTCTCTCTCTCTCTCTTCAAAATAAATAAATAAATGAATGAATGAATATTTTTTTAAAGTAAATAAAAGATGATTCTTTCCTTCCTTTAAAAGATAATTAACTCTTAGGGGCAGCTGGATGGCTCAATGGTTAAATGTCCAACTCTTGGTTTCAGCCTAGGTCACGATCTCACAGTTCGTAGGACAGAGCCCCACATTGGGCTCTGTGTTGACAGCTTGGGATTCTCTCTCTCCCTCTCTCTCTGCCCCTCCCCTGCTCTCCCATGCATGTTCTCTCTCCTTGTCTCTCTCAAAATAAACTTTAAAAAAAATAAAAATAAAAGATGATTAACTTTTTTCCTTTGGATGATAAGTTGTGCTATTTTAGGCATTTTAATTATTGCCTTGTGACACATGGGTGGCCCAGTTGGTCAGGCATCCAACTTTGGCTCAGGGCATGATCTCATGGTTCATGAGTTTGAGCCCCACGTCCAGCTCTGAGCTGAAGCCTGCTTCCAATTCTGTGTCTCCCTCTCATTATGCCCCTCTCCAACTCATTCTCTCTCTCTAAAATAAATAAACATTAAAAAAATTTTTTAAATTAATTATTGCCTTATTAAGTTAGCTTGCAGGTTTGATTCATCGAAGAGAACCACCTGAGGTCAGAGCTTGGAAGAGATCAGTTAAAAGCAGCAATTCTCACCCTGAAATGAATGAACTCTACACAGCAAGCCAGAGTGATGAGCCTCTATTCTAAATTGTCTTAGTGCTCAGCTTAAAACACATCAATCTATCTCATCAAGCAGCTGACATGCCTGCAGATGCCTCTTCTGAAGCCATTAGCCAACAGCTTTCAACAATCTGACACCATGACTACTCTTGGACCACTCCCCTAGCAAAAATATCCCGTCACTTTGGCCATTCATTACTTTGGCCAACCCAGGGCCAGAAGGTCACCGTTTCTCTTGCTACACCTTACAGGTAAAGACGTTGAAATGATGAAACCACGTGTCTAAACACAACCGCCAATCTCTGTAAAACACGGGCGTTTACAAAGCTGCCAAACAGCCATGACACCGCTCTGAAGCAACAACAGAACTTTCTACGGGAAGCAGTAGACGTGAGTTCCATCCCATGGACTGAGTTCACCCCATGCTTTGAGAATGAAGTTGCCAGCACAATATGGGACACCTTTAAGCGGAAGGAACAAAAACTTCAATTTTCTCAAATTGGTACCTTTTCCAGAACACTGCAGGAGAGCACTTACTGGGGGCAGGCTCGGGGGATGGGAATCAATCAAGGGACTCGCTCAGGAGAAGCAACACAATTTGAATTTGGAGATGGGCTGTGTCATGCAGAGGCGGCCTCAGGACCTTCTTCCCCTAGCATCTGGCCTCACCTCCTCCCCTGCCTTCCAGCCCCAGAGACTGCTCTTTGCTTCGCTCTCAGAACTCCTAGTGGCCTCCCAAAGGGGCTCAGCCGTCTCAGCCTTCTTGCCTCTAGACCTGGCATTCCCTCTGCCTGACATGCTCCCCACCCGTTTCTTCTTCTGGTCTGCTTCCATTTGACCCTTAAACTCAGCTCAAATGACATCTTTTACGGGAGCTGCCCTCCCTAGTGCTCTCAGAGCACCATGATTCCCGAAGGTCACTGCACTGTCCTGGCTGATTCTGTCGTCTGCCCCCTTCCCTGCACTTAATCCTGGGGTGCGGGATTGAGGGGGAAGGTGATTCATCTCCCCTGGCTTCTGACGCATGGATCAGGCAGTCAGTAAAGGGCTGTGAACCAAAGGAATGGATGTGCCGATACTCAGGAGTGGCCGCCCGTGCTTCTGGGGTAGAGACCCTCAGACAGTTGGAGTGGAAACCGTCACCCTCCCCCCCCCCCACTTTCACTGTAGCTGCTGGGACTCCCTTCCCAGCCTGGCTGCCCCAGAAAAGGGCCCTGGGGACGTCACACAGGCCACAGCACGGCCACAGAAGGACAATCCAACTTAGGGTTGTGGGGCTTTTCTGTTTCTGCTTAATTTTTCATTTTGACCGGAAACTCTTTGGTTCTTTACACACTGAGAAGCATTTCAGGTTGCTATTTTGGGAGGGAACGTGACAGCCGCAGTTCTAAAGTATTTCTCAGGGGTCACACAGCCTAACTGTTAAGACTGTGAGCTCCGGGGGCACCTGGGTGGCTCAGCTAGCTGGGTAAGGATTCAACTCTTCATTTCCGCTCAGGTCATCTCACGGCTCATGGGCTCGGTCCCCACATCGAGCTCTGCACTGACAGTGCGGACACTGCTTGGAATTCTCTCTCTCTCTGCCCCTCCCCCGTGTGCTCGCCCTCTCCCAAAATAAATAAATAAAACAAGAAAAGAGTGTGAGCTCTGAAGCCTGAGTTCAAATGTGTCACACACCAACAGAGTAACTCTGGGCAAGCCAGTTACTGACTTACCTCCTGCCCGCACACAGGAAGCGGGGCGCCTCCGGGCCGCATTCACTCCACAAACACGCACCGAGACCCCCGTGGCGCCCGAGCCACCCGCACAAAGTATACTCTCACCCGCGTCGCCTGCTGGGTCTCGTCACCGGCCTCCGCCCTACCTGGAACAGTTTCGTTCGCGGGCTCGTCGCCCCTGGTGAGAAGGGAAGCTCTAGGGCCGCCGGGGGCCGGACTCCTGCGCATTCCCGCGGTCTCCGGGGCTCGGCACCGAGCGAGCACGCACCTCGACGCCCTGGGAACGGAGGCGCGGGCAGGCCTGACGCGGTCCCCTGCGCCCCTCGGCGCTTACACCTCGGTGCCGAAGACACATGGCAAGTGCAAAGCTGCGTGTCGCAAGGGGCCCTGGCTGGCCACGGGCACACGTGGCGCCCGAGGCTCCCCCCGCACCCCACCCCCGACGGCGGCACGGACGGGAGCCTCGGGCACGAGGAAGGCAGGAGAAGGCAAGTCGGGCGCCGTCGCGTCAGGACTGCGGGGGCTCTTTCCGTTCATTTGCGCCACAGACGCGGACCGGGCTCGCGACAAGGGCCGGGCACACGGCAGAGGCACGGCCGAGTCCTGTCCTCAAGGCGCTTCCCGTCTAGCGTGGGGACGGGAGCACACAAGTGCGTAAAACGGCCCTTGGAGGTGCTGTGAGCGCCGTGCGGACGCGGAACACGGGTGTCACGGAGAACGACCGCCGGTGTCCGCCGCGGGGCGGGGGGAAGGGTTCGGAGCGGGCCTCTCGGGGGCGGCGACAGGTGGGCGAACCCCGGGACAGGTCGGCCCCGCGGGAGGGGCGTGGGGGGAACAGCTGACCCTCGGCCGGAAGACCCCCGAGCGGACGGCGAGCGCGGGGAGGCCCGGGGCGCCCGGGCTGCCCGACGGGCTCAGTGCGCTGGGCGGGCGCGCCGTCGGGCGGGGCGGGGACCGCGGGCCGCGCGGGGACCCACGTCACCGCCGCGCCGCCGGGGCCTGCGGGCGGGGGCGCGGGGCGGCGGGGCCGGGCCCGCGGCCGAACATGGCGGGCCGCCGGCTTACCTCGGAATTTGAGCTCGTGCTGCGGCTCGAGGCTCAGGACCTGCTCCACCTTCGCCATGTTCCTCAGCGGCGGGGCACCTCTGGCGGGGAGACCCCTAAGAGGTCACCGGAGGCGGGAGGCGTTAATGCTGCGCCCCCTTTAAATTTGGGAAGGGGGGGTCGGCCGGGATGGTGGCGGGGGTCGTCTACGGGGTGCGCGCGGGGGGGCGGCCTAAGCGGTGCAGGCGCAGGGGCGGAGGGCGAGGGCGAGGCCGCGGTGCCCGGCGAGCGCACGGCACGCACGCACGCACGCACGCACGCAGCGACGCACGCACGTACGCACGCAGCGGGCTGGCCGGTTCGGCCCTGCGCGCCTCGGGCGGCGGGAAGCTGCGCGCGCGTAGCCCCTCCTGGAGCTGTGCGCAGGCGCGGCGTTGGCCGCGGGGCGGGGCGGGGCGACAGGGGGCGGGGCTTCGGGCAGGCCTGGGGGCGGGGCTGGTCCGGGACACTCAGAACTGAAGAGAGTCATCTCGAAGGTTATTTATTCAGGACCCTTGGGGGGCCAGCCGTTGCGTAAAGTGCTTTCCTCCATAAAAAGAAACTTCCACTTTTCCCTTGCTTATGTAGCGCCAGGCACTGGTAGAGACTTTGAATAATAGTGAAAGTACCATTTATTCTTATTGTAAGCACGTTTATAAGTGAATGGTGTGTGCTAGGCACTGTGACATACGGTAAGCAATAAATAAACAGTAAACTACCAACAACTGCTTGCTTCTTTTGTGCCACTCTGCTGAACACTTTCAATAACAGCATCGAATGTAAGGAAAGCTACTCTCCAATAAATGTTTACCGTGTAACAAGCTGTGTGCCGCATCCTTTGTTAGTAGATGCAACAAATATTTACAAATACACCGATCAGAGAAATTGACCTGCTCCCTACCCGGTAACTAGAACCGGTTGGAAGGGCAGCCTTTGGAAAAATAACCACGTAAATAAACTATGTTATTAAAGATTGCTGGGAACCCAGATCTGCTTGGCCTCTAAAGTGGACGCTCCATTATTGTCATTTACATATTATGTCATTATGTACTGTTTACTACATACAATATGTGTTCTCAATAGTCTCCTATATATACGTATGTAGAAGAAACAAACAGCAAATAGTTAAAATTGACCCTACTCTGGTGGGCATCTGGGTATTCTTTGTACTATTCCTTCCGTTTTTCTATATACGTGAAATTTTCCATAATAAAAAAGTTTTTTAAAAGATAATCTTTGTCTTTTAACTAGAGCATTTGGTCCATTTACACTTATTATATTTACTAATATACATCGGGATTTATTTCTATCTCTTATTTTGTGCTTTCTATTTCTAAAATGTATTTTGAAAGACGTGCTTGTTTTTTTCTTTTTCCTCTCCTTTCTTCTCTAGGGCTGTTGGTTTTTTACCCTCATTCTCTTTTTCTTCTTCTTATACACTATTTCTGCTGTTTTCTTGATTACCCTAGAAACTGTGACATGGGTATTTATGAAAGTCCAATGTTTAAAATGTCTTTACCACGCTCTCTTAAAATATAAGGACTTTGGGACACATGAACTCAAACTACCCATCCCCGAAATTACATGCCTTCATTATAGTGCATGTCAGGTTGACTTTTTTTCCGTTTCATGCCATGAGTCATTACTAAGTTGTTTTAGGGGCATCTGGGGGGCTCAGTCAATTAAGCGTCCGACTTTGGCTCAGGTCATGATCTCACAGTTTGTGAGTTCGAGTCCCGCGTTGGGCTCTGTGCTGACAGCTCGGAGCCTGGAGCTTGCCTCGGATTGTGTCTCCTTCTCTCTCTCTGGCCCTCCCCCGCTCACACTCTGTGTTTCTCTCTCTCTCAAAACTAAATAACATAAAAACAACAACAACAACAACAAAAAAACCTGGCACTCCACACCCACTAAACAATACCCCCTCACTCATTTCCCTAGACTTGTGACTCCTCCGTGTCTTTCTCTTCTGGCTTTTACATTTTTCCATGACCTGATTAACCATTCCCTTCTACTAAATTACCTTTGTCAAGATAACCGTTGTAATGTCTGCTTTCCTGGCTACACCCTCACCGACACTACTTGGTACCAAGAGTGGTCCCAGGACACAGAGTCTCGAAGAAGGCATTCGGGGACCAATTTGGTCACGTCATCCTGCCAGACTGCATTGCCAGTGGGACGTGGACTCCCGGAAGGGTTGGGCTGCCGCGATCGCGCACCAGCTTGTAAGAGCCAAAGGTGCACATCACCTCTCAATTCCGCTCAGTGACATCCCATAAGTTGCTTCAAATCAGTCATGGTGGGAGTGTTTGCACCACAGAAATCTGCAAAAAACTACAAATCAGAGTTATATTTTTTCCTCCGGAGAGCTAGGTTAGCGCACAGCACATGTTACAAGGAACCTACAAGTCATACTTGGTGGCATCACTGAGGAGTACGTTTCCAGCTGCATTTGATTGTGACAGGTGCCCAAAGAAGGGCCTCGGAAAGCTGGGTGGCTATTGCACTTAGGTAGCAGTGAGGACAGAGGACTGCAGCGTGGGCCAGCTGCACCCCGGGGCGCTGGAGCTATTCCAGAAAGGAAGTGGTAAGCTCTTCAACTCTTAGCTTAAGTCACGGTCAGAAAACCAGGGAGATTGTATGGAGCCCTACAATAATCCCCTATTTCTAGTAGCTGAAAATCACGCCCAAAAGTTAACCCCTAGGGGGGTTGCAGAATTACAACCTCAGTGGAATTCACAGATTTGCCAAAACCTCAGCAGTACCTTTGGATGTCTGCTTTGTCCTGCTAAGAAATGACCAGAGAGCACGAATGTACCCTGAGCGGCAGCCGGGGCCAGGGACACGCACGGCGGAGCTGGGTGACGTGAGAAGGAGGTGCGGAGAGCAGGGACGTGGATGGTCCTGGGGACGGGAACAGTGAGAAGGTACTGGTGTCCCATGCGCATGCTCACCTGAGGACACCCACTAAAGCGGTGGCTCTCCGATAACCAAGGGGACAAGGTGACACATCTTGCGGATGACAATCTCTTCTCCCAGCTGTGCCGTTACTCGCTCACCGGGCTTATTTACAAAGTGACCACGGTGGCAGATGAGGAAGTTCTGGGTGGACCCAGAGGTCCCTCATCAAGCTGACTGGCCACCGGCACCGCTGAGCGCCTGCCGTCACCACGGGGAACACTAACCCCTTTCCTGGGGAGGGATGCAGGCTAAACCTGACCTTGGACACCTGCCAATGTGACCACTTAGCTATGTAAAAAAACAAAGCAGGGCTTACAGACCCAAACAAAAGAAGCACAAAAATCTGAACTGAAAAACTCCTGAAACAGGGGCACCTGGGTGGTTCAGTTGTTGGGAGTGTCTGACTTCAGCTCAGGTCATGATCTCACGGTTCGGGAGTTCGAGGCTCGTGGCAGGCTCTGTGCTGACAGCTCAGAGCCTGGAGCCTGTTTCGGATTCTGTGTCTCCTTCTCTCTCTGCCCCTCCTCCGCTCATGCTCTGTCTGTCTCTCTCTGTCTCTCAAAAATAAACATTAAAAAGACTTTTAAAAAACCTTCTGAAACAGGTTTATCAGCAGCCTAAGGGAAAATTAGTGACTGCAAGAGAGATCTGAAGAAATATCCATGATGTGGGACATAAAAATGAGAGATTAGGCTATGATAGAGAAGTAAAGAGATGTGTAGAATATGTCTTACAGACCTCTCTCTCTCTCTCTAGCACAGCCTACAGTAATAAATGCATTTTATTTGTGACTCACTACGTAGATATATGTATAAGTGTGTTAATCAATACAACCGAAACAAAAGCTTCATGAAATAATACAATACACTCTTACATTTGCTATTTATTTTCTTTCTCAGCGCTGGTAACAACCTCCTGAATTGATTTTATAAGTCACTCTTGGGAAACAACTACAGTTTGAATAACACTGGTCGAATAAACTACTGGTCCACCATCCAGAAGCAAACAGTGAGAGACTCGGCGGAGGCAATATTTGTAGGACAGGTGGTCACACCTGCTCAAATACGGACGTGATGCCAAGTGAAATACGCCAGATGCGAAAGGGCCACTGCTGTATGATTCCATTTAGGGGAGGTGTCGAGAACGGTCAGGTTCACAAAGACAGAAAGGAGAGCAGTGGTTACTGGGGGTCGTAGCGGGGAGTCATTGCTTCATGGGCGGAGACTTCCAGTTTTGCAGGTGGATGGGGACATGGCTTCACAACGTGAAGGGCCTAACCCTTGCCCAGACAGGGGCCCCCACCCCCCACCCCAGCCTCTGGCGGGAGAGCGTGGGAGCAACTGCCTTCTCAGTGGAGGGTCTCAGGGAACAAGGTGGATGCTGGGAGGCTTGGGGGGGCAGGGAAGACCCTCGCTTTTACCGTTCTCACCCCCAGAAACGAGCACTCCCACTACCCAGACCCCCCTTGGCTCTTCATTCCCGACCGTGAGCAGCCGGGCTTGGAACCTTGGTCCCCCTCTCTGTGCCTGGCACGTAAAAGGTGCTCAATAAATGTTTGATGAATGAACGAAATAATGTAATTAAGAATTTGGGGAGGGGGGAGTTGGAGGAGTCTTTTGAATCCTTAGGACTTGTCCCCAAGCACCCACAAGGCCGCATTTGCATACAAATAATTGATATTCTAATTACAAATCATTTGTATTGATTTATTAAGCAGATCCCCAAAGGATCTCTAGAAGATAATTAGATTCCTTGCTCCTCAGGGGTAAGGAAGGCATATTTACCTCACTGTCCCCCAAGGCAGCATGGGGAGGAAGAGCAACATGATGAATGTTTGATGAGGCAGAGAGAGAGCATGGTCTCATTGGGTCCCCACACATCATTTCCAGGGTGTTAGGGGTTGAGGGAACAGGTAAGGTGTGTGTGTGTGTGTGTGTGTGTGTGTGTGTGTGTGTGTTCATGCGTACGTACAATCTGCATACCTCTCCTTTCTCCAAGCCCCAGCCGATGTCCACCTTCATTGGAGGGGTGCATTGGCTGAGGGCGGGGACCCCTGTTTCTCCAGCCAGGAGACAAAGCAAAGCAAGACAGTCTCCCGTGGCCCCTCCAGGGAGTGAGTGGGGGCCGGGAGTGTTACCCTTCTCCCCATCTTCTCTGTCTGCCTCTCCCCAGCAACCCCAAATAAATGACAGCAGCACGTAAAATATATCTGTAGCTGCAGGTACAGACGCAGATCTTTGCCCACCTGCACGCACCGGGGAAGGCATCCTTACAGAGCCGGGCTGTTTCCACCGATACAACACGGTGCCTGCTC